CCTCACCTAAGACTCTGACCAACCCATTTCCCAACAGAGCTCTGCCTCATGAGACACAGGCCATGGGGCCAGGGTCTCTTCGTGGTGGTGACAGTCAGTCATCTGCTTGGTCATTTTCCAGCATCTGTGTTGAGCATGACATAAGGTGACAAGTGTTTATGTAGCTACTAAACATTGAAGCCCCCCTAGTCCCAACAGCCTATGGACCTGTCCATTTGCCAACCCTGAGGTGTGGGGAAGTAGCACAAGAGAGCCTGGCAGTCCTCCCAGGCACACTGACCTCAAGAGGCACAGCCAGTGGTTGTCAACATCCGAACAATTTTGAATGTTTTACTAAGAAGATAAAACAACCTTCCTGCTGCTAGATCTCAGATGAGGACTCTTCTTCAGTCTTCATTGGTCCAGCCCAAACCCTTCCCTCCAGCTTCAGAGCCAGCATGAGGAAGGCACTGGAGCGTCAGCAGCCAGGCATACAGAAAAGGATGTGGCAGCCAGCATGGTGGGCATCGTGAACACACATGCTCTTCCTACACACACAGGATGACATCAAGTTAACATGATGAGAAAGTTGTATCCTATGAGTAATCCCAGCACGGAACCAAAATAAGCAAATTTATAAAACAAATCTACACCACCTTTTTGCAAAAGGTCACGCCATAGTTCAGTCTGCTGCTTCTTATTCATATGAGCTGTGTAGAAGGTGTAAAGGCATTCAGATGCTTGTTATGAGACTGGCAACTTTCATTTCCCAATTCCTTGGATTTGACAGCAAACCAAGCCGGCACACAAATCCCTGCCCTGTTATTTGTATTTGCTCTTATGTAGAACACAGGTTTGAAATGAACACTTGCCATCTTTGCACATGTGGCTTCTCTTTAACAGCGTCTTTCTTGTAACATGTCACTAAGACACTTAAGACACAGGTGTACCCAAAACAAAAGAGAACTTCAGAGAACAAGGATGGTGACAGCTTTTAGGAATGCTACGGCAGGGTGAGCAGCAGCATTTTGTTTTAATAATTTGAGACTGGAACAGGGCAGATCTTTAAGGTCTAAACTAATTTTGCTTTTTACTGCTTACCAAGGGCTTTAGTTTGTTTTCCTTTTTATAGTCTTTGTACTATAAAAATATTTTTGATAAACAGTTTCAAGAGAGTGTCTTTCAGAAGACAGGTTTGCCTCACTGATTCTCAGTGAGAACGTGTCTCAGTCTGCCAGAGCTCCAGATGTGCACCTGTATTTGTGTTTGGTTTGGCTCACTGTACAGATAAGATAACTCAGTTCTGATTATTGCCATGTTATCTGTACCATGACCTTGGTTTCCCCAAATCAAAACTCAGATCCTGACATAACATTTTCTTCTCCATCTGTGCCATCTTATAAAGACATGTATGCTAAACTCTGCTCAAAACAGTTTCTTTACTAAAAAGGAATGAAATTACTTGAGGAGAAATTTTTAAATTGTGTCCTTTAAAATCTATTGATTAAATATTTGAATTTCTGAGAAATCTGGAGCACATGTTCACTATAGAATAGCCAAGGAAGCATTTCTTACAAGGGTATTTACTCAGAACGGTGCTCCAGATCCCAACTTGACACCCTTTTCTGAAAATCCAGGCCACCTTCCAGCTCAGCTATAGAATGGCCTGTCTTTGTCAGGAGGGACACTGACTTCTTCATCAAGGACATGTACTTCGGGAATAGAGAATGGCATTTTTTATCCCAGATAACAGTCTCCCTTCCAGCGGCTGTGCTGCCAAGACTCCTTGCTGAGCCACTCCCGGGACCTTGACAGGGAGCCAAGACCGCTGTGTTTGCTTGCTGTGCCAGCTTGGTGAGGGCACGCTTGTCAGCTGGTGCCTCTGATTCTGAGCAGCTCAGGAAGCAGAGAGCAGCTTCTTCTGTGTCAGGTGAGTATCTTGGTTGCTACAAGTCTTACCACCAGTTGTAGTTATTAGTCAGGAAATATGATTTCTCATTTTCTCTGGTGGTGGTGGAGAAGCTATTTGAAGAAGGGAAAGAGCCAAAGAGTGAGCTATTTACACTACAAACCTTCCATACCTCCAATGGACTGTTTTGAGCTAGGCCTGTTACCAGCCTCTTCTCCTAGACTACTTGCACCCTGATCCGCAGGCAGAGCAGAAACTTTTGCATGTGGAATAGGGCTGGGAGCAGTCAGAGTGTCATCACCTAGGAATCAGGTTATAATAGTAAAAATGCAAAGGCATAAGCTTTTTGGATCTTTACTGTCCTTAGGGAGGAACTTCTCAAAGCCCTCCTTTCCTCCTATTTCAGGATCAGGAGAGAAGGGACTGTTGTGGAAGGCCAGGTTTGAGATTTAGTGGAGCATATCCATCCAGGGCCCCACATCTGCTCCCCTCTCAGGGAGACAAGATCCACAATCAGGCAATTAAAACTCCTCACAAGATCTTGTGAGCTTTTCTTTTAAAGCTTTCACTGCATTGCTCCATCAACTAGTTCCTCTGGTGGTTTTCAGGCCTGGTCAGGAGGGTCGTCCATGAGGCACTTCTGTGAACACTGGACTAGCCCTGTGGCTAAGGCTGCACTCACCAACTTCCTTTATGCCACAATAGTCCCAGCTGCCAAAATATGGAGTGGGGAAGGTATTAAAATAAGATTACTGAGTTTTACTAACTTGACTAATGTCCTGTGGGCTTTATAACCCCTCACATCCAATGCTTTCATAGATCTACATGCCAAACAACACTGGTTTTAACTGAAGAAAAACCAGCATGTTCTCTTGCTATTAACCTTTACTTACTTGGGCAGTGTTCTGCTGTAGGAAAGCAAGGAGGCATGTTTGAGTCAGGAGCTGCTCTCACAAGTGATTGTTGCTTATAGATGTCATTGAACAAAAATGCTGATTTTAAGAATGTAGCATTTAGAAGAAAAAAAGTAAGACGACAAAGGTTCACAGACCTTTACTAAATTCTCATTGTGTGCCTAACACATATACTTTGAATTAAAGTGGACTCAGTGATCATGAAGATTCAGAGGGTTTGGGGTGTAGCTAAGTGGTAGAGCATGTGATTAGCATGCACAAGTCCCTAGGTTCAATCCCCAACACCAAAACAAAAACAAAAAAGTGAAGTTTTGGTTGTTTCAGAAAACTGGCACATCAACAAGCAACTAAGATGAAAGAGCAAGTGAAATGAGGCTCAGTGTTTTGAAGAGGAACAGGAGCACAATGAAGGGGATAGCACTGCTGCCTTGAGAACCCTGAACAGAAGGGCCAGGTGAAGGCTGAGAAGCTGAGGCAGTGGCTAGGAAGATGGGGTTGCACTTCCTGGGCCTCCAAATCTTTGCTTGGTGAGGGCTTGACTCCAGTCTCTGGAAAGAGAATGAGCTCCTTGTGGAGAGGAAAGTATATGGGCAATAGAGTGGCCTGGAGTACTAAGGTCTGCCTCTAAGAGGCCATGTCCAAGGAAAGGACTTTCCCAGTTAACCCACAGACCTGGGATTAACTGAAAGTAGGAATCAAAGGAAGGAGCCATAGAAAGAAGTGGAAGCCTGAGTTTCCAATCTCAGTGAGTGGATTGGTATTAGACCCAGGGAATATCCTTTTTGAGTCACTTTAGGGCAGGGTGCCTAGAGGGAGACATGGAGATACTGGGCTAATCTTAGGCAGAGGTTTGCTGAGGGAATAGTGATCAGGTTTGGCTCCTCCTGCATCAGAATTCCTGTGAAGCCATGTTTTAAATACACATGCCACCTAGCCCTACCGAAGTTGTCTCCGTGTAATCACAATCTCTTCGGTGCCCCCATCTTCCCTCACCCCTGCCCCATGCAGAGGTTTGTACACTAGACACATGCACACACAGACACCCTCACTAGAGGGTACACTCAGTTCAGATGATGGTGGCAGCCAAATGGGCTGGAATTACCCTGTGACACAAAAAACAGGCTTGCGATAAAAACTCTGGGGACACTGACATTCAAGATACAGATAGAAGGTGCTACTGAAGTCAACCAGTTTAGAAAACCCTTTGAATGTAATTTCCCTCTCCAAAAAAAGGCAGAATGACTGGCTCTCATTCTCATCTTCAGTGTCACCCAAAGCCAAAGTGTAATGTGGTTAAACTCAATCTTTGCTCCCATTCTCAGGCAGCACAGGGAGATAATTGAAAGGGATCAGTATCACAGTGTATCCTGACACCACAGCTGAAAATAAGTGCCTTCCCTCAGCAGATCCTGATAAGGGCAATTGTTACAAGTTAGATGTATGGAGTTTTGTCCTTTATTTTGACCTTGTGGGTACATCATTCCAAAGATTTGACACACCATCATGTTATCCCTTTGGGGAAAGAATAATCTGGGATGTGGTTAAGATCCTTACAAAAGACTGGGAAACGCTATATGGATTTTAAACATAGTAACATCAGAGAAAATACAGGAGGAAGTTGGTGGGGGTAAGATGCCTGCATTTTTCTGTCTGTATGGAATTGTTTTCCTAACTACTCTGTGAAACTTCAAGGAAAGCAAATCATGATGGAGCCCCTGAGCTGATGAGTTGGGGAAAGTTTTACCAGCCTCCTGGAGCCTGTCTGAAGGGGGCTGAAGTTGGGGGATCAGGAGGCCCCCTGTAGTCCTGGAGCTCCTCCAGGCATTGATGGAGTTGAGAAGTTTTCCTCCCTCTTATGGGTGTCCAGGGCTATCCCAGCAAACTGAACCTCAAAAAAGAGGGGCCGAGCGGGCCTCCAGCAGGTGTGGAATAAAAGCAGTCCCCTACATTTTCCAGAACTGTGACCCTACCAGCCCAAAGTGACTGTGGAGTGGAAGGGAGCCATCAGCTTCAACCACTGAAAGAACAACCCTTTTACATCTAAGACATGTATGGAAGACCCCCTTAGGGACCACCTGGCCTATCACATGGGTTTTCCCTCCTACAGTTCACCTTAGGCTGCAGTCAGTTTTCTGTTTTCTTCACTCAAACTTGGGGAAGAAGGGAAATGCTTTAGTACAAAAAGGTAAAAGTCTTTGAACCTCATACAACTTGATTATTTAACCTTCAGAAAGGTTCATTGCTGCTCAAGTTGCTCAGGCCTCTGCCCTGGGCTCTCTGAGCTCTGCCTGCTAACTCCTCCATATGCACACAATACAAAGGATTGGGACTGGAGGTATCATAGACCCCAGAGCCAAGGATGAGGGTGGACACTTCTGTAAGCCACACACATCCTCCTGTGGAAAAGCCGAGAGCAGGAAGCCATCATCAGCATACTTCTCTCAGCTCTGATGTCCATCCCCTGGGACACTTAACCAACTCATTTCTTACCAGTCCACTTACCTCCACTCGTGGGTAGTCACATGCATAGGGAACATACATGTTGGTCACCTGGCAAGTCTGACTTGGCTTTCATCAGTTCCTCATTCCTGTCATCTTTTCTACCCTCTCTTTCCAGGTACTAGCAACTGTCAAGAATTACAGATGAGGGGCTGGGATTGTGGCTCAGTGGTAGAGCGCTTGCCTAGCACATGTGAGGCACTGGGTTTGATCCTCAGCACCACATAAAAATAAGTAAAATAAAGGTATTGTGTCCATCTATAGCTTTAAAAAAATAGAATTACAGATGATTGTTCTGAGATATTGTTTTCAAAATTAAAACAACTTAATGTGAATTTAAATTTGCTTTTGGAATTACCCTTCCTTCCTCCACAATTAAGTCCAAGTATATTTGTACTGTGTGATATTAAAGAACTTTTCTAATGACTAGGAGGAACTGAACCAAGAAATTTATTTAAAAGGTGGAGAGGATCTAGGTAGAATATATCATCCCAGGCCATTTGTTTTCCTTCAGGTGATCAAGCTCTTCCAAAATAGGAAGGCTGCTGATTGCTAGATGTGTTCTGTGGATCCAGTCACTAGATGTGACCTGGTTCCACAGCCCAGCACCTTTGTGGGGGGCCTAGCTTGTGACAATACATGCCAACCTGGAAAGAGGCAGAGAGGGCACTGTCTCCCTTCATCCTTCCAGCAGCCCAGGCCTGTCTTGCTGACCCAGCTGGAGGAGGGGCTCCCTTGGCTGGTGCTTAGGCCAGAATCTGGTGTCTTGAGCCAAGAATGGGAAGCAGGATGGACTCCAGAGTGGCAGTAGCTCTGTCCAAGAAAACTGGACAAGCATGCTTACCGACACAAGAAAAGACTCCCAGCTAGGAGATAACATTGACAGTATGGAGAACATCATTGCCTAATAGAAATATCCTGTTCCCGCACAAGAGAAGGACTACTTCCAATCCCAGACTACATATGTCACAATTGGTTTTGACCCTCAGTAGCTTTTATACTCAGAAAATACTAAAGTCACTCCTTTCATATTTGGGTCACTTGAAGAGCCCCTCTAACTCCAGGTTCCTGCTAACTATGCACAACATCTCAGACGATGGCATACAAAACTATTTTTCTAACTATAGTACAGGTAATTTGGGATGGGGGAAGCTTGGAATATATGTAAGTGTGGCAAATGACTTATCTTCTACCTTGAGAGATAAAAGGGAAACTATGCACTTGACTTTTAATTCACCATTGGATAGCTTGTGTCAGGAACAACACATATCAAATATTCAAGAAGAGAAAAATTGATCATTAGCTTAATTGGGGGGTTCACTGTGGGGGGATTTAGCCTGTCTAGAACACAGATACCTTCAAATACAATGTGAACTGAGTTCTTGACAATCAGATTTTATCAACCCTTGGAAATGTTCTGGGCAGCACAACTCTTATGTCCACATGGTTATAATTAAATAGTGAAATTGTATGGTATATAACTAAATGCCAATAGTGTATACCTGTATGTGCGAAATTTGCTAATATAACCATTTCAATAAAAGCCTATTGAAAAAAACTCTTGGCCACATGGAGTACTGTTGGTGGTAATATGTCTCAGTAAGGACTCTTCGTTGCAGGTGAAAGAAAATTCAACCCACGCTGGCTAAAGTAAAATGGGAATGTAGTGGTTTCCAAAAGCTAAAGCCTGTGACAGATGTGATATGATTTGACCCTCAAACATTGATACCAGGACACATCTTCCAGCTTTGCTTCCTCTGGGAAATCTCCATCTTGTGGTAACAAGTACTTCCAAATTCTTTAGGGCAGATTTCTCTATAGAATACAATGACACATATGTTCAATGTGCCAGTAGTGTCATCAGCACTCCACTGAAGTGTCCCAGACCAGAATGGCATTGCCTGGGCCCTGTTTGAAGGCACGTGTCCATCACCAATCCAGCCACTGTGATCCCAGAGATGGGTTTCACTGATTGCCTCAGCCAGCGTGGGTTCCACTTCTGCAGCCCAGTGGTGCATTCAGCTTCACCTGCAAGACAGGAGCTGAAGGCTGAGATGTAACTCAATGGAGAGCACTTGTGCAGCATGTACAAGGCCCTGGATTCAATCCCCAGCTCCACAAAGAAAAAGAAAAAAGATGGGAGTTAAGGTCTAAGGAATGGCTCCCACAACAAAAATAATTGTGCTGCCCAGAAAGGAGAAGTGGCTGTTGGGGGCCAAAAGCAGCAAGTTTCCAGTGTATATTAAAAAAGGTCTGTATATCAGTGCCATCTCTGCCAATTACTAGTTTGACCTTGGCAAGTCATTTCACCTGCCTGGATTTCAGTTTTATCATCCCTAATTTAAGAATCATAAAATACCTACCCAATAGGATTGATGTGGGAGGAATTAGATTTAAAATTATGTCAGAAGTAGGTTTCATATTATATGGCCATTAACAGTCTAGTATCCAGAATATATAAAGAACTCCTACAACTCAATACAAATAATATAATTTTTAAATGAGCAAAAGATAGGAATAGGCATTTCTCTCCAACCCCCCCCAAAAAAAAAAACAAGAAGCACATTAAAAGATTTTCAACATCATTAATCATTAGAACTGGATATTATTGGGACATAACACTGATGAAATATTGAAAATTAGAACTCCCATAATTACTGGTGGGAGTGTGAGATGGCACCACTGCTTTGGAAAACAGTTTGGTGGTTACTCAAAAAAATCAATCTATTTTTAGTTTGTTTTTTGGTACCAGGGATTAAATCCAGGAGCACTTAACCACTGAGCCACATCCCTAGCCCTTTTTTGTATTCAGTTTAGAGACAGGGTCTCACTGAATTGCTCAAAGTCTTGCTAAATTGCTGAGGCTGGTTTTGAACTCACAATCCTCCTGCCTCAGCCTCCTTAGTCACTGGGATTACAGGTATGCACCACTGCACTGGGCAATCAAACATATCTTTAACACATGTTCCAATAATATGGCATAAATATATAGTATATCCAAGAGAATTTAAAACAAATACAAAAATGTATACAGCATTATTCACAGTCAAAAGCAGAAAACAAATGTTCATCAACTGATGAGTGAATAAACAAATGTGACATATTCATGCCATGAAGTAATACATTCAGTCCTAAGAAAGAAACGAAGCACTGCCACATGCCACAATATCAATGAATCTTGAACCCATTATAGTAAGCGAAAGAAACCAGACACAAAAGGCCACATATTGTATGATCCACATGAAATGTCCAGAATAGACAAAACAGTGTTTGCCAGGGGCTAGGAGAAGGGAGAGATTGGAGTAACTGATTGCTAATGAGTACAGGGTTTCTCTTTGGAATGATGAAAACATTCTGGGATTAGATAGTGGTAGTGGTTTCCAACCTTGTGAAAATACTAAAAGCCCACTAAATTGTGCACCTTAAAAGGTGAATTATATGAAATGTGAATTTTATCTTAGAAAATAAATTAAAAGTAGGTTTAGCACATACTAAGTGCTCAATGACCATTTGATCTTCCCTTCTTATAAAGAGTATTTCAGGGCTGGGGATGTGGCTCAGTGGTAGAGTGCTCACCTGGCATGCATGGGACACTGGGTTCGATCCTCAGCACCACATAAAAATAGAATAAAGTTGTTTAAAAAATTCTCTCTCTCTCTCTCTCTCTCTCTCTCTCTCTCTCTCTCTCTCTCTCTCTCTCTCTCAAAAAAAAAGTATTTCAAAGGGTGGTCTCTAGGTCAGCAGCACAGCATCAATTAGGAACTCATTAGGTATGCAGATACTCTAGGGTGGGGTCCCAAAGTATCCAGTAGGCCATGCAGGTGATCCCAGGGCATGCTCAAGTTTAATCCCTCCAGTGAAGAAATGAAATAACCCTTTACCTCCTCTCAGGGTAGTTAAAAGTACTTCCAAAATCTCCAAGGCAGATTTCTCTACAGAGCAAAACAACATTATGAGTTTAAGAAAACTAGTCTCTACTTTTTGGGGGGCAAGAAGAGTGACTTGGTGCATAATAATTAAATAGAAGAGTAGGTTTCCTTGTGTCATATTCCTACATACATATAACATAATTTTATTAATTTCATTTCCGGTACCTCCCTTTATGCCCCTTCCTCCCTCTCCCAATCTCCTCCATCTACCCTACTGGACTCCCTTCTGTTTTCATGAGATCCAGTTTGTTTCCTTTTTTTTTTCTCTTGTTGTGTCCACATATGAGGGAAAATATACAACCCGTGATTCTCTGGTCTGACTTATTTCATTCAACATAATTCTCTGGAGCATTCCATCCATTTTCCTGCAAATGACATTATTTGTTCTTAATGGCTGATTAAAACTCCATTCTGTATATATATACCACATTTTCTTTATCCATTCATCTGCTTAAGGACACTTAGACTCATCCTCAACTGGGCTGTTGTGAATGGTGCTGCTATAAACATTGGTACACATGTATATCTAGAGTATACTGACTTTAATTCTACTGAATAAATAACAGTGTCTCTACATATTGAAAGTTGATTCAGAGTCACAAGCAATATTTCAAAATTCTATGGATTATGGGTGAGAAACCAGCCTCTACCTCAGAGCAAAGCCTGTCCAAGGAAGGGGGTGTGACCCTTGTCCTTGGAAAGACCCACAGAGCACTCCTAGGCACACATCCACCCTGCTGAGTTGTTTATCTACAAATTACGAGAGAGATTTTCGGAGCCAGGTGTCCCTGACTCAGTCAGGCTAGGTGAGGACCCATATCAACCCCCTAGCAACCACCAATCAGCATGAGACAGGGAAAATACTTGGGATGTCAGATGACCCTCCCAGTAGTTTATGGTGGTTGATAACGTTGGGAAACCGTGTAATTCAGCACTACTCCCCTCGTGGCTTAAACTAATTAGTTCAAGCGAATCCCCCACTGGTACTAACCAATCACCCTTATCCAACTTGTTCCCGCCAGTGAATGTGCTAATCAATGTTAAGAGTTGTTTTTATGATTTTCCCACTGTGTGTGATGATTTGCTAAGACATGATATGATGTATGTGGGGTCCCTGCCTTCCCCAAAGAGTGGATACAACTGCTGCAAACCCTGGGCTCTGGGCCTCTCAGGTCACCAGTTGCTGTGTGCACACGGAAGACCTAACTAGCTTGCAATAAACACCTCTTTGCTGCTTACATCTATCTTGGTCTCTGGTGGTCTTTTGGGGGTCCCGAATTCGAGCATAACATGGGGAGGTGGGGGGGGTGCACAGCCTGTAATCCTAGCAGCTCCAGAGGCTGAGGTAGGAGAATCTCAAGTTCAAAGTCAGCCTCAGCATCTTAGTGAGGCCCGAAACAACTTGGTGAGAACCTACCTCAAAGTAAAAAAGGACTGGGGATGTGGCTTAGTGGGTAAGTGCCCCTGAGTTCAATATCTGGTACAAAAAAAAAGAGAGAGAAAAAAAGAAAAAGAAAAGGACTATGGATTACTCTGGCTGTCAGTCATGTACACCTACATCTGTTATACTAAGATCCCTGAATGCCAGTGACAGAGATCCAACTCTGTTCACATCTCCCAGGGTGATTCTAATATGCCCCCTTCCCAATACCCTCTTGACCTCAACCCTTTATCCAGCTAGGTGACCAGAAATCCCAATTAGCCCGTCAAAAGTTGTCCCTGACAGAGTTAGCAGCCCCTTTTGACTCTGAAGGACACAGGCTTACTCCCCAGTCCCTGGTACACAGGCTTCTCAGTGTTGACAGTGGTCAATTTAATTTGCTTCATGGTATGATAAGAGCTCATGTTTGGATTGTGAGTGGTACTGCCAGCTGTGGGTTCAGGGGGAATAGGGATCTGCAATACCGGCTGAAGATGCTGGCCACCCCTATACCTTTGCAAAAACCTCCACTGATCCCAGGGCCAGCCCTGATCCAGACCCCAAGACCACACAGAGTTCCATCTGTCAGGTGAGGGTAGAACACTGACTTCTAAGGATATACGTGCCTTGGGGGCTTCCTGACCACCTGTCCATTGGACCTTGAAGATTAATCTTAGGCTCAACTGTCAGAATTCTGAAAATCATTACAAACTGCTAACCCTTTTCCAAACGACCTTTGCAACATTAATGCGCACTCGATCGCACAATTGACTAAAAGTATATCAGCAAATGCTAATTCTTTACATTTGCTCCCCAAACTCTGAATAAGTGTTCACAAAATGCCAGAAGTTCTGATCTCTGCACAACCAGTCCCCTTTCCCTGCGCTGTAGACTGAGCGATTCCAGAGAGGCCCGACGCCCCGGGGATGGAGCGCTAGGAGACCAGGCTGCAGCGCTGCGGCCTCGGGCGAGAAGAAGTGGACACGGCTGAGTCCTAGCCCGCAATGGTCCGAGGCCATAGCTAGGGCGAGGCGGGGTCCGAGAGGACGGAGAGGGGCGAGGCTGGGCGGGGAGCGGCCGCGCGGCGGGCGGGCCCAGG